AGCCACTCCTCGGAAGGAAGGTTGGGCAATCTACTTCCATAGTGATACTGCCTCGGAAACCCAAGGAGGGGTTGCTATGAGTCAGGTCTGACTTGAGGGCAAATAACAACAACAATAACATGGATAGATGATCCAAAACCCATTAAATGGGGGAAGACATAGTCTCTAACAAATGGTTCTGGCCAAAATGGACTTCCACTTGCAGAAAAATGAAACATGATCCATACCTCACACCATATACAAAAACTAACTCAGCATGGATTAAACATCTAACTATAAAAGCTAAAACTGTAAGATGCAATAATGGGTCTCTCTTTGTCCAGAGCAAAGAAGAATGAAGAAAACAAAAGACACATGGAATCAATTAGTCCAAGGGACTGGTATACCATGTGATCCTCAGCCTATATGACTATGAGACCAGAAGAACTAGATGGTGCCCAGCTACCATGGCCAACCACTCAGAGAGGGATCTATGTAGGAGATACTGGGTAGAGTAGGAGAACAATGTGGAACAAAACTCAAAATCATTTAAAAAAAGAAAAAAAAAAAAGGGACCGGGTTTGCTGGTCTGATAGAGCCTGGTGGGAGCACTGAGATCTATGATCCCTAGCTGCCCTTCAGGTCTGGAATTGAACCCACACCTATGGCTTCCACCCAAACAAAAGACAGGCATATGAGGTGAACATTTACACTAGGTCAATAACACTCCTTGGAGAGAACAATTATGGGAGAATAGAAGGGCTGTGTGCACAGGGAGACAGCTCGGGGCAGGAGTACATGGAGGGAAGGACACATGGAAGAGGTTACTATCAGGAGGAAGTGGAAGGGGAGCTGTTGGATTGGGGTAAATTGTAGTGAATATCATGAGACAGTGTATGTGAACTGCTGTATGGAAAGTGAATTTGCTCTGTAAACTTTCACCCAAATCACCATAGAAAAAAAACTTCCCCCCCAAAAAATCCATCTCATATTAAGTAGTCTCTGTATTAGATTACATAGGGACTACTAAAAAACTACCACATAATCCCTGTTATCATACAGCTTTAAGTGTGATTAAGTATTTTGAAGTTTAGAATTCTTTTCATGTTTAGAGCTGGGATAGATACTGAGCAGGGTTGAATTGACCTCCAAAAGATGAGCAGAAATGTTTGAGGGAATTTCAGACAGATATGTAGGCCTTATACAAAAAGGGTGTGTGGATGAAAAGTATTTGTTTTAGAAATGGAAAATAGTGGTTTTGCTAGAGCTTAGAATTTGGATGGAGAATGCTGGGAAAGAAGATTTGGAAAGTGGTTTGGGTCAGGTCATGGAGGACTTCAATTACCAGGAGCTGGACTTAAGTCTGTAGGTATTGGAGATCATTGGAATGTTTGTACAATCAGTAGTTGTGCAAGGTGAAACAGACACCTATACCAAAAATCAAGTCCATTGCCATGGAGTTGATTCTGACTTACAGCCACCCTATAAGACAGAATAGAAATGCCCTGTAGGGTTTCCAAGGCTGTCAGTCTTATAGGAGCAGACTGCCTCATCTTTCTCCTGCAGAGCAGCTGGTTGGGATTTCAAGTCCACCAGACAGCTATATACAAGAAGAATTGAAGTGAGGATACATTGGTAGTAGTGAGAAGTAATATAAAACCTTGGATCAGAGATACTAACCAAAAAACCCAAAACCAAACTCACTGCCATCAAGTTGATTCCAACTCACAGTGACCCCCTTTGGGTTTCCAAGGTGGTAAATCTTTATAGAGGTAGATTGCACAGTTTTCCTTTTGTGGAGTGGCTGGTGGGTTTGAACCATAAACCTTCTGGTTAGCTGTCAAATGTCTTAGGCGCCATGCCACCAGAGCTCTTAAATAAGGATACACACACACACACACACATACACAGAACCATCAAGTTGATTCTGATTCAAAGTGACCCCCACTGGGTTTCAAAGGTGGTAAATCTTTATGGGTACTTTGCCCCAACTTGCTTCAGTGGAGTAGTTTGTGGGTTTGAACTGCCATCCTTCTGGTTAGCAGTCAAATACTTGAGGTACTGCGCCACCAGAGTCCTTAAGCAGAGATAGTAGTTATCAAATTGTGCTGCATGTAAGTTGGAAGTGCTTCAGGGGTTCTTTCAAAGTTGAACTTAAATTTTTTTTTAAATTATATTTTTAACTTTGAAAAACCTGTGATAAAAGAACTAAGAAACACTCAAATTTGAAAATTCTTAATACCCTATTTTAACATACGAGATACCAGCAGGATTTGACAGATGAACTCATTTTTGTGCCAACCATAAGACTCAAGGTTCTCTTGCCCACTGCTCTTTAACTGAAGATTATTCTCAAACATCAAAATAACAGTTAAAAATTGGTTATCATTGTAACTTTTTAGTTATGTGCATCAGGAATTTCTTAATAACGTGTAAAAGATAGATATAAATTTAATGGTAAGTTGACATAATCTTTAGCTGTCATCTGTAACTCCCAATCTCAAGTTTTATATTTGTTAAAACAGCTTCGTTGTCATTTATTGATGTTAGAGTAATTAAGTTACTGTAAAGCCATTTTTATAAAAATAACTTTTATCTGACTTAAATATAATGATTTCATGCCAGATTATTTTAGTGTTCTACAATTTAAAAAAGTTTGAAAATCACTGAGATAGGGTCTATAATTTCTGTGGGATAAAAAAAGGAAAATAGATGATTGCATTGCTTTGAAGTAAAGCTGATAGGTGAATTGTTAAATACAGAGAATAAGGGAAAAGTAAGAGTTATAATGTCTGTAAAATTAAGTTTGTTAGGTTGGATGTCTGAGAATGTGTTAACAGTGAAGATTGGAGAAAAATTGCTTGGGAGAGTTAAGTAATATTTTAATTTTTTCCTCTTCTCTGCCCTACCTCCCACAAAGAAAACCCAGAGTATACTATTCCATCATTATTTAATCTCTGAAATTAATTACTGTCTGCTTACTTGTTTCATATAATACGCATTTTTTAAATCTTTTAAAAATATCTTTCATTACAAAATTTTTGTGAAAAAAAAAAAGGAACTATTTTGTAGAAGTGTCTATTCAGAAAATCTAAGTCTCTCTCAGTCTCATTCCCAGAGTTTAACAATTTGGTGTATTTTCTTCTAGAGTTTTTTTTTTCTTTTTTCCCTGCTGAGTGTGGTAATATGATATATGTATAATTAGCAGTTATTACTGATACTTCTAAGATGCCATATGGGTAAGCACAGATACTTGGTTACAGACATTGGAGTAACAGAATGAAGGTTTTATTTTAGAAACATAAGGTAGTAGGTGGCATAGTGCCTAAAGCATTTGCCTGCTAACCAGAAGGCTGGTAGTTCAAACCCACCAGCCACTCTTCAGGAGGACTGGATAATCTGCTTCTGTAGAGATACTGCCTCAGAAACCTGAGGAGGGGTCGCTGTGAGTCAGGTGGCAGTGAGTTGGGATTTTTGGTATGAAATTGAATGGCCATGACATTTAGTGCTTGATTATATATAAATAATACCTTCCTCACCCCCTATATAAACCATCTTCTTTTTTTTTTAATTTATTGTGATTTTGGTGAAATTTTACAAAGCAAATTTACTTTCCATACAGCAGTTCATACACATTTTGTCTCATGACATTGACTGCAATTTCCAAATGTGTAACAGCTCTCTTCCCACTTGTCCCTCATAGCTACCTCTTCCCTGTGTCCTTCCCTCCCATATACTCTTACCCCTCAAGCTGTCTCCCTGTGCATACACTGTCATATAGGCTGAGGATCAGCCCCTTGGACTAGCTGTTTCCATGTGTCTTTGGTTTTCTTCATTCTTCTTTGTTCTGGACAAGAAGAGACCCATGGTTGCATCTAGATGGCTGCTTGCAAGCTTTTAAGATCTGAGTCATTACTCACAAAAGTAGGATGTAGAACAAAGTTTTTGT